GATTAGAAAAATATTAAATAAGTTAAGAAAGATATTAAATTATGAAATTAATTAAATTAAGGGAATATTCAGGAGAATTCAATTCAATAATAATCAATAAACAATTGCTGTATATTGTGCACGAATAAATTGATTATTTAACAGATAAATTTTAAAACTTGATAATAATTATTTTAAATATTTTATATAATTGGCAACCTAAGCAACTTTGCTCTTTTACACAGGGAAAAAAACCCGCCCTCCGACATATAAACACTAACATTGTTTGTGTGTTGGTTCGTAATCTTAGAGTCTCCTCGGTACAGATAATATTCTTAGCCGATTGTTACCACCACCAATTAACCGGGGTTATACTCAAAGAAAGGGAAGTCGTAGTACAATTATTATTCTTGCACTTAATATGACATCATATCTGTATAATCAGTTCTTGTTGCAACCATTGTATACGTTAATTAAAAGCTTGTTTAAATTTTGACTATCATAAAAGTAAAATAATTGACTCTTTTCCTTTGAGTTCAAGATAAACAATATACATATAGCTATTTGCCATTGTAAAGTCATAATTTTTCGTTCAATTCGTTTTATGATTATATATGATTTAAAATATTAAGATTGACCTGTGCCTATAACTAATTTTTGCTAGTCACAAAATTTATAGTAGAAATATTGGTTTTAATAACGTGACAGTCATTTTTACAATACATGATAGAGAATAAAAAATTAATTAATGTACAGCTAGATTAGAGACGATATAGCTTTGTCTTTTAGATATGACTTATTATTTTTAAAATTATTACGATTATTTGTATGAATTCATGCAACATATACTTTTGCACCTCAATGTTTCTTTTTGTACGTTAATTTTGGCCCATCTGGCTTCTCTTTTAGGATGTGACTGTTTTTTAAATTTCTGAATGGTAATGTTGGGACAAAAATTTTTCAAAGGTTGTTTAAATGTCTGTATTAATGTCCAAATATGGCATGGAAAAAAAAATTTGGTCTTATTCGTTCTTTTTTAGATACGGTCAAAAAAGGAGATAAACAATTATGTTTCTGCATACTTGAACTCCTTTATATTTGTGCATCTTAATAATTTAGTTCTATTTAAGGTAATGCGTAAAAATTGATATTTTCAGCCAATTTTGCTTCCCTTTCGAGATACAGGGTTTTTTTTTAAGGAAAGGTTGTCGTAGTCTATGTATTCAATACTTCATGAACATTTTTTTACATACATGTCAACATATAAACATGTAGTTAATGACTGAGACGTGCATCTCGTGTATGCATATATGTATACAAAATACATACGTGTACTTTATCTGTAGTATAAGTACAGCTGTTGTTTTTCCCTTTTTTTCTTTTTTCTCCATACCTTTTATTCCTCAGCTTGAGCAAACGCATCGGTTAAGTGTTTAGTCGTTTATATAGAAACGTACATGCTAATATACCTATAATACATGTACACATACATAGGTCTAGTAGCAGCGTGAGGGGAAGGGAACAAGCGGCGTACGTGCGAGAGAAAGAGAGATGGAGCAGTAGGCAATAGAGTGGCGTGAGCTGCAAAAGAGAGAGATGAGCGTGAGGGAGTATGTAAGAAATAAGATTAAGGAGAGGGTTTAAGCTGCAGGGTGAGTGGCTACGTTCTTCCGTAACACATTTTTCCACGGCTGTTCACGGCCTAACATAAGAAGTTTCACCTCGAAAATTCCGGCGTGGATCTTGGTACTCCTGGCAGAAGTAAAACTTTCAAATCGTATGTTATGTAACTTGGTTTAATAGAAACTTTTACAGAAACTTTTATAAGAAAAGTCACAGTACATTTAAATTCAATAGATTTTTAAAAATGCGATATTGCAATAGTTAAAATATTATTATTATTACAAATCGAACAGGCGCTTGCATAGAACGTATAGACTCTAACATACTACTTACGTTACATGTTATTTGTTCATTTAACATACTTCTATGTTTGCTATAATATTTGTATGAATATATGCAGAACGAAGCAAAATTTTTTACTATACTATGCTAAAAGAAGGTACTTTTATCCCGTACCGTGGGACAACAATTCTTTCTGCTGTCACAGCACTAGTAAAAATCGTATCCACCCAGTGGAGTTGGCTACGCTTCGGTCAACTATATTCATGAGATCTGAGACTTTCTTAACTTTAACTTTTTATAGATATGCAATAAACTATTCATCTTATGTGACATTAAATATATAAACAATTAATTATTGTTCGAATCTTTGTATCAGACAAATTCATTACTTTTTAATTTTGACTACCATAAAAACAACATAATCAACTTTATTTGATAAATATTAAGAAAAACAATAGACATAGCTAGTTTTTATCGTAAAGTTTTAAATATTTTCATTTAACTCGTTTCATATAAGTATTTCTAATGTGATATGGAAATTGTGTATGCTTCACTAATTTCTACTTATTTCAAATTTCATAATAAAAACATAGCTTTGTTCACGTGACAATTATTTTTATAATACATGATAGAGCCTAGAAAAAAAATGAATTTATTTCAAAGATATGTAGAACTAGCTTTTCCTTTGAGATGTAATTTCTATTAGTTTTAAAATCATTGCAATTTTTTTAATGAAACTGTGTAATACATATTATTGCACGTTAATACCTTTGTTTCAATACATTGAATCACGTTCGACTTATCTGGCTTTCTTTTTAAGATATGACTGTTTGTCTTATTTTCAGATAAATATTATGAATAAATAAAAATTTCTTTTACATGTTTTCTTCAAGATGCAGTTAAAATATAAAAAAATTAGGTTTTTTTTAGTTCAGAGTCCAACCTCTCTCTACGTGTAAAAGTTGTCATTTTTAGCTGATTCTCTTTCGTTTTAAGATGCACCGTTTTTTCTTGTTTTCAAAAGAAAGGTTGTCATATCATACAGATGAAATACTTTGGGCGCATTTATTAATGTACGTATATATATTACAACGATAGATAGGAAATAAAAACAATTGTAACAACGTTTTTCAATATACTAAATTTTTAATACACGTATACTAAAGTTTTCCTTAAAGAAAAAACATTGCTAGGAATCGAATTGTCTTCAAACAGATTTGAGTCACAAGCAAAAGACTTAGTCCAATCAACCATCAGCAGCTATGCTCGTAGAGAGTTGTAGAATGTATTGAAGTTGTAGAAAGTGGGTGAAGCTTTAATTAAAGGTTAGAGAAAGGGACACCCTTACTTCTGTATACATACTTAGAGAGAGGGAAGTTTTTTTGTGCTTGTTTCTTTTTCTCCTTTTTTGCAGCTTATTATTAAAAACAAACTTCATGGATTTAAGACATCAACTTTTTTATTAAGACATGTCAAGAATACACGCAAAATATTTACCTTAAACCGTTTAACAGTACATGACAACACAGCACGTTTAGTCCGGGGGATATCGTCAATCTACCAAGGAAAATTATTTGAATGAAAATTCTTTGCGCCATTTCATAAGAAATGTGCTCCTGTATAAGAAAATACAGTTTGCTAGGTGCCAATGTGGTTAAAAAATTTTTAAACAAGTATTTTTGAAACAAATTCTTCAAAGTTGTTTTTTTTGGCCTATAAAAAATGTTTTCATATTCTTGGGCACATTTGTGACAAAAAACTGGTTGAAGTGTATATACCTGAACCCCACAGTTTTTAAGTAAAAAATTCCCAAAGTCTCGAAAAATGCATTTTTTTCCCATTTTTAGAGCTCCACGAAAGTGCTAAATGAACATGTTTTCATATGTTATAAAACACGATTATAAACTGTATGCAATCCACTACAATCTCTTAAAGAAAAATGTTAAAAAGTTGAGAGGCAAGTTAATTTTTGCACTAAACATTTAGAGCGTTTCAGCACGTGGTCATATGTGAGTTTATGCCTATACATACGTTTCGTGGCTCATCGTGTAGTAAACATATATAGGTATACACTTACATATGAGTGTGCGCTAAATCAATCTGAGTGTTTCTTGCAAAAAATGTTGACACTCATATTTCGACATATTTTTTTTTGAGATTGTAGAGAAAAGCTCATAGTTTATGATTGTGTATTGTAACACATGAAAATATGTATATTTAGCACTTTCGTGGAGCTCTGAAAATCGGAGAAAATGCATTTTTCACAATTTTTGAGATTTTTTTCTTAAAAACTGTAAAGTTTAGGTGTACACATTGCTATTAGCTTTTTTGTAACAATTATGCCAAAAAAAATATGAAAATATTCTTTTCAGACCAAAAAAACAACTCCGACAAATTTGCTTGAAGAATATTTATTTAAACAATTACTGACCACATTATCACCTAGCAAACTATACTCCCTTATACAAGAGAAAACTTTTCATAAATAGTGCAAGAAATTTCCATTCGAATAATTTCTCTCGGTAGATTGACAATATCCCTCGGACTAGGTGCTACATTCTGTGAATTTCTAACGAAGCTAAGATGGGGGGCTGCTAGCGTTAAATTTATTAAAACAGCTCTTTTCATAAAAAATTTGAAAAAAATGCTAATTTCCTTAATTTAATTATTTAGGAAAAGTACTGGCCTACACCAATGTACTTGTGCTACTGGCTGTAATGTTAGACCTGTCACAGAAAACACTGATGTACAAGCTAGTTTCTGAAGCTGTAGTTAAAAAAAGGAGGTACTTAGCTATTCTTAGCTAAAAAATTTTGCGTCTTAGGAGTCAAGATAACAGACAACAAACTTTAAAAAGTATAAATGTTTATTTATTTAACTGTGCTAATAAAAGGAAAGCTTACCAAATGCTATGACTATGACAAAAATCCAGGGCAGAAATTATTTGTCGAAAAAATCTTCTGGCTTCCTTAGGTGTAAGTCTTCCTTTTTTGACAAGATAATCAAATAGTTCTCCCCCGGATACATGTTCAAGAATCAAGTACCTACGAATTATAACAAAATACAACACTTTAGAAATTGATATCGTACTATTCTTCTTGCATTGTTATTTTGTTATTCACTTAGCAATATTATTCATGTAAGTAAAATGAACTGTGTAAGTTAGAACTAAGGAAACATGTCTACATAAGTTAAAAGTAAATTAAGTTAGTGAAGACAGAATTCTTACTAAAGTTGATTTTTAAAAATTCTTTCATTTAATGGCTGGTTAACAACGTGACAAGGTTCTCATACACCTCACAGTCTTACTATATGTTTTTCAAAGCATAATCTATTAATTTTATTAATACCATGATATTACCATTAAACTGTTCGATGTTTTTTTTCTAAACAGAGAAAAAACCCATTACTTTAAAATACGCTTTCTGATTTGGGACAAACACTTTTCTTAACCTCGAAGCAGCAGCATTATTAATGATACAGAATTATACCAGTAGTGCAATTTTTCTATGTTTCTTTATTACCAAGTTTTAACGTTATATCGTTAGAGAGAGAAACCCTAAAAATATTTTTTTATCCTTGTTTATGTTTAAGCAAGAACAATAAATTACGTTCATTAGGCGACCTATTCTATTGAGATATGTCTTACAATTAGATACATTTATCCACAATGAGGACAGCAATTAAGAGTTTTAACGGTTTTTTAACTGGGCCTTAAGTTTTAACAGTGTAGAGCTCATTGAAAAACATTAAATAAATGTATGTAAGGTTTTTATTAAATTTAGAAAAAAGTTAGATATTTTAGAAAATCTTCAACTTTGCTATTGAATATAAGTAGTTGTTGCAGCACTTTAGCCCCTTTTAACAAACCCCTACCACCTCGATAGGAGCTTTTTATGATACGTAAAGACAAGGCATGTGGAGTGGGGAACATACCTCACCCACGGTTGGCTTCTCTTTCCAACTTTATGCACGAAGAGAGTGCACCCCACTTTTACTTACTTGAGAAGCTACAATTTTTCCCTCCCTCTCTCTTTCTCTTTCTTAGTACGGGTATTTTTTAAATGATTTATTATCATGTAGTTTTCTACAGTAAAAAGAGTCCAAAATTTTTTAATTTTATTTTCTTATGACATGAAAATAAATGCAATTTATGAGGATGCGGTGTTTACAAAAGTACGTATGTTTTTAAATTTAGTTTATATTTCAAAGCCTCTACAAGTGCCATTGTATAAAATGATGCAATAATGCATATAAAATCGCATACATACTCTTTTGTTAAATATTTGTACTTTGTCGTATCTACAGAAACGTCTTTCTTGTACACACTCTCTAAACCAGGATATCTCTAACAATTCACTTCACAATATCAGGTCCATAATAATCGATTTGCATTTGATACATATACCAACCTTTTTATAAAACATTTTATACACATTTCTGTACAACAGTAGGCATTAAATCCAACGAATCACCTAATACACATACATTACAATCAATGCATTTGACAATAAATTTGCTTAAATGATCAAACGTCACTCTTTTTACAACTAAACTACGTCGGTTTTGCTTCGTGACACTACCACTCACACCTTGTTTTCGTCCTTCTTTAAGTTCATTAGCCTTGTCATTATAACTCACGGTAAGCTTCAGGGACCAGTTGAAGCCACAAATTTTGACGCTCTACAAGTTGCTGTCGCTCATGGCAAGACAATTCTCAATGTCCATAAACGCCAATTTAAATTTTTTTTTCAATTCGAAATTTTGAAAAAGATCGCTTCTAAATCTGTGCTTAATTGACGTACTAAGATGAAAGTACTTCTTACTGGCCACTTAGTAGCTGTTATCAGAAGAGCATCGTATATTTTAAACAGCTTTCAAAATTTAAACTTTTTTAAGGTATGATTTAAAAGTTATGAATTAATTTTAAACTATACGATAAATAGAAGTTGTATATCCGACCGTAGACAAAAATTGTTTATAATCATCTGAGTATGTCAGATGCTTTAGTACATGGCCACTCAAAAAAAAAGTTGCTTTAGTGCCCCAAATTTAGGAGGCAGTGACTGGCCACCTTATGCTAAACACGTACATAACTTGAGGTGGCCGACTTCTAGTGCTCGCCAAAAGTGATGTTATATACAAGTGCTCTAGTACTTAGCCACCATATCTTAAAAATTTTTTTTAAAGTCTTGAAGTAAGAAAACGAACTTCATTGCATTTTCAAATGAAATATTGATAAGTTTTCACAGTAATGTTATCCTGTCACGGATTAGAAATAAAGTCAATTCTTATAATTCGTGAAATGGTCTTACTGACCAGGTACTGGTTGTAGCCATTAACTAGTACCTTTGCCTTACGGATTCTTAATCGGTGTCAAGGATTTGCTATATTTTAGACAAACTACGGCTTTTTTAACAGGCTTTTATTAGCTCCACTTATGACTAACTTTGTACGGAAGAAAATCTTGGAATCTTAATTTAATCTACTTCCCGGTCTTCGATTAGGATGAAATCTAGCTAAGAAACGTCATTACAAATTCAATATGGCAGCCTCCCCAAGATGGCGGACTGGCTGTTTGAAATCAACCACCATGATATGGGTATTAAATGAAAGGATTTGCTGAATGTGATACGAAAAAAATAATCACGTGATCAAAATCTAACATGGTGGTCGTCCCAAGGTAAAGGATTGGCTATTTGAAACGCAGCCCTATAATTTAAGTATGAAATGAAAGGGTTTTCTGAACATAATGCGAAATGACATTTGCTTACCCAATTATCATGTCATGGGTATCAATCAATACGGTTTGACGAGAGGAATACGAAGTTTGACCTTTGAGTCCATGAGATCCCACCTGAGCCAAGATAGGATACGTGCCGAGGGCTGAATGGTATGAGGGTGGTAAAAATACCATGTCGCTAGCGTTACCTTAGAGCACCGGGCGTAACCCTATTGTAATTAGCGTAATTTTCTCTCTTCATAGACCTCTGGGAGGGTCGACGGTCAATAAGACTGAAATTTATAAAATAAAAATAATAGTTAAAAAAAACTAAAAAGCACACTTTTAGCACGCACTACAAATTACAAAATAATTTGGACATTTAGTTTAATAACTTAAGATTTTGCTTTTTGCCAAATCTTTATTAGATCGCAGATAAACATAATATTTACCTATGCAAAATGGTTATAAGTAGGTAATCATCTTTATTAAATATTTACTATGATTCATCATAAAAGAAAACGTGGAGCGTTTGGTCCAAAAAACGTAAAGATTACATAAATGCTTAATGCTTTCTTTCATGATAAATCATAGTAAATATTTAAAAGAGATTATTACCTACTCGTAACCATTTTGAAAAGGTAATTACTTATTGTTCATCATGAACTAAAATAATTTACGTTTATCCACGATCAAATAAAGATTTGACACAGGAAAAACTCTAGAGTCATCAAACTCATGGTCCAAATTATCCTGTAATTTTTAGTGCATTACAAAAGCGTGTTTTTTAGTTTTTTAAACTATTATTTTTTCAAATGATTCATTCCCATAAAGATCGCAAACAATTTGCGGAGGTTACTGTTGCTACTATTTTATCGCTCAAGAAATTTATTTTCACCTCGTAGCTCAAAAGAGACAGGGTGAAAGACATTTAGAGGTGTTAAATTACGTTGTTGCATGAAAAGTTGCATCGACAACACACCCAGGACAATGTTAATGGAAACAAGTATGATCATGTATTGTGCGCAGACAAAAACGTTGAGTATAAAATTTTTTACAAACTATAAACATTTTGAGGTAGGGTCGTCAAGCGCTGACATTTTTTATCTTTAGAATTCATTATGATGTAACATGAGTGTCTGCCACTAGACGTTCAGGAATGCGAAGACTGCAAATTTTAAGAGTTAATGGATACACTTATTTGAAAGCTATTTTACTGCAACTTTTTTGTAAATATTTTACTAGACAACCACTACCACTCGACACCGAGCTTCTCAAATTTTCTTTGCTACACCCCTATAAAATAAAACGTCTGGCAATTTTGTCATTCTTTTCAAACCAGTGGAAAAGTTTTTAAAAACCCAAGCCAGTGCTCATGTAAAACAAAAACATCAAACAAAATTGACCATATAAGTTTTAAGTTATGCTTTGTAATTGCTTAACATTCCAACGCAGATTCTAACAATTATTACGAAATCCATTAAAGTGCTGCGGTAGATAAAGTTGAGTACCATAGCTATTAAAATATAAGCCATCTGAATATGCATCAACGCATATAGGGACCCAATGCACACCTGTTGGTGTATGATTATTAGTGTCAATGTCAAGTGCTGTTGATTTTGCTCACACCTGTGGAATCTGATAGGCTGGGAATCCATTGGTAGAATGCGTTGTAAGTTTTGACAGTATTTGCAATATCTGTAGGCTGTTCATTACGTTTTTGGAGCAAAAATTTTAGTATGTGAGCGTAATTTGAGGCACACTGATATTTTAATGATTTGATTTGAATGCGTAATGAATACAATACACTCCTAATGACAGATCTCCTAAAGATAGACAGTCAATCTTGTACTTCGAGTTTATTACTTGCCAAAGAGCTATTCTATATTCTAATATAAGAGATATTCTATGTAAATTTTACCACATTTAGCAACTCCTGACGTAAATTTTTCTTGCACTATTTCCAACATCATTCAAAATTTTGAAAATTAATTCCAAAGACACTTCACCCTTAAAGAAATCAAGTTTATGATAATGTCGGGACAACCTAATATTTTGTCGTTGCGCTCCCTTCTGTGATCACTTAATTTTTGCAAGTAACAAGGAGGCATCACATCTAATGTGCGAAAAAGTCATTATTTCAAGCAACGATAGCAACTTCTTTCAGCACTGTTATATTTTTTCCACCTTGAAATACTCAATGTTGACTACAAGGTCCATTGCAGTTTATGGATGATTGAGCTTGCCAATAAAAACTAAACCGAGAGACAATTGTCATGTCCGATCGGTGAGGGTAACTATATTTCCTTAGTAGCGCCCTCT